GGCCAGGTCGCCTCCAGCTCCGCTGCGGCTTGCTAGTTGTGGCCGGCAATCGCGGGCCTCCCGCGTGAAGCCACCGCGAGGAAGAGGAGGAGGCTTTTGGCGGGGGGGTGCAGTTTGGTACCCCTAAGGGCCGGCGTGCTCTAGGCAAACGCCTAGTTCGCCTGGTGAGCGAGCCAGCCCTGCTTAGGAGCCACCCCAATATTACACTCTTCCCGTATTCCAGGCAGGGCCTTGCAGGGCTTCATGCCTGGCAGGTGATTCCCACCTTGAAACAGCTGCTGCTGGAGGGACGGAGAGTAAGGGTAAGCCGTGGGCCTCATTGTAGGGAGGGAAGTAAAAGGCCTGTCTCCTCCCCTCCCCCTCCCCCGCAGCCTCTGTGCTCTCCTCTCACTGGGGGAACGGCCAGGAGGAGAGCAAGAGATGGTAAAACCCCCTCTTGCCTCCACCCAAGCAAAGACTAAGCTGGCCATACTGGAGAGGTGGTGGCTTGCTCCCCTTCCTCGACAGCCTCTTCCGGGCACCTGGGCAATCTCACTCTTTTGCCCGACCTGTTGTGCCTCATGCAGGACGACGGTGAGACTGTAGAAAGCGAAGCCCTTCCTCCCGCTCCACAGACACAAAAGCTGGCTAAGAGTCAACAGCATTGGGGAGAGAGGCGCAGTCCTACCTCCGTCTCCTACCGGCTGCCAGTCTGCCCTAGAGACAACCCTACATGCACAGAGGCACTTGAGTAGTTTTAAAAGTGTGGCGCAGTGGATGGGGTGGCAGACTAGGACCCCAGGCAACCTGCGTTCGAATCCCCCCTTCTGCCACGGAAGCGTGCTGGGTGACCTTGGCCCCGTCACAAACCCTTATCCTGGCCTACCTCCCAAGGCTGTTGTGAGAAAACGGAGGAGAGAACAATATTCTAAAAGCTGCTTTGAATCCAAATGGGGGAGAAGAATAGGCTATAAATAAAGGGAAATGCATATGGTACGTCATGATATCTGTTCTTATCGTACGCACCTGTTTGGTGGAACGACGCACAGAGCATATAATAGTTATGAGTTTGTTTCGGTTGAGCCACAGAGGGAGTAATGCGACCCTAAGTCTTCTAAACGTCTGTGGAATGAGTCCGAGGGACAAGCACGCGAGTGTTCACAAGGAAGGACTGAGAGTGCTGCAGGAACATCAGAGGTTCGGAAGGGGCCCTGACCACCATCAAGCCCATGGAGGGATGCCGGCCTCCAGGTGGGACCTGGGGATCCCCTGGAATTAGAGCTCCTCTCCAGACTCCAGAGATCGGGTACCCGGGAGAAAACGGATGCTGTGGAGGGCAGACCCCACTGAGGTCCCTGTCCTCCCCAGGCTCCACCCCCAAATCTCCGGGAATCTCCCAACTTGTATGTGGCTATCCTACCCTACCATCCCCTGCCAGTGGCTGGGGAGACCTGGCGACCCGAAGTTCATGACTGACTGGGGATTTGAAGGCGGGTCTCCCCAGGTTCCAGTGTGGGTAGATGCTCCAACCCTCAACCACGCTCCTTCTCCCAGGGACAAGGAAGAGCTGCCCTCACCCGCACCGGCTACGCAGAGGCCGTTCACATTCATGAGCCTGCGGGGCTTCATCAGCACGAGCTCCACGTTGTCCAGCTTGGCGATCGCCACATCCCCACAGCAGCGCCGGTCTGTTTTCCACTGGTCTGCCACACTCAGCTTGCCGGCCAGGTGGTTCAGCATGGCCATGCCCACGCTGTGACGGGTGCCCCGCAGGCCGTAATTCCCCAGTCCTGCCACCTACAAAAAAGAGACCTGTCAGGGGCTGGTGGGGAATGCAGGGTTCATTTCCCACAAGCTGGAAGCTAGAGCAGGGTGTCAAACATGTGGCCCGGGGGCCGGATCAGGCCCCCGGACGGCTTCTATCAGGCCCACAGAGGAACCGGCTGTGTTCTGCTTCTTCTTCCAGTTCTGCTGCTGCTACGTCATTGTAGCTTTGCAGCTTACAGATACACACTTGAACAGCATGCTCAAGACTGCAACAGCACAGACATTTTGATGCAATAATTCAGAGCAAGAGGTGTCAGCTATAGGACACTGTTAAATAAACAAAATATTGCAAGAGTGCTAATATTTTAAGCATGTTTTTATTTTAAGTAAAAAAAACCTTTGTGTTTGTGTCCTTTATAAAGTTTATATCTCCGCTACCTGGCATTACATTTTATGACACACATGGCCCGGCCCAACAAGGTCTCATTTATGTCAGATCCGGACCTCATAACAAATGAGTTTGACATCCCTGAGCTAGAGGATGAAGGGGTAAGATTTATATTAGGCCAGAATAAAGGGAGGGTTTGGCGGAAAGGGCATTATTCTTTTGAAAGGTTATCAACTCTTAAAGCGAGACAGAATTCAACCAGCACAAGAGAGCTGATATTAGCCTGGATGAATTTATTCGTTTATTCAATTTATACCCCACCCTTCCCTCCATGGCAAGCTCAGGGCGGCTTACATAAAATTCATATGAATACACTTAAAACAGTTCCAAATAACATCATCATAAAATAACATAACACTTCATTTAAAATAATCCTAAAGTCTAGTAAAGTGTGAGAGCAAGATTTCAAGTTAGCAGAACTGACACTGCGGTTGTCTTCCCTGGGTGGGGAAATTCCTGGAGTTTTGCGAAATGGAGTTTGGGGAGGGGAGACCTCAGTCGAATATAATGCCACAGAGTCCACCCTCCAAACCAGCCATTTTCTCCAGGGGAACTGTGGTCTGCAGCTCAGTTATGATTCTGGGGGTTCTCCTTCAGCCTCTACCTGGAGGTTAGACATTTAAACCCTATCTTAGCCAACATGACGAACCTTCCTGAGGCTTTAAAAGTGCACCGTCTTTTAAATGACTCTGTTCCGGAAATATCAATGAACGTAGCCATGTTTTTACAATCAGCAATAAAGCTACCTCAGGAAAACTTCCAACGAGTAATTGTTTTATGCTACCTTATGTTTTATATAGGAGCTGCAGTGGCTCAAGTGGTTAAGACGCTGAACTGCAGGCTGTGGAAGGTCAGTAGTTCAGCAGTTCGAGACCCGAGTGTGCCGCAAGACGGAGTGAGCTCCCGTCTCTAGTTCCAGCTCCTGCCAACCTAGCAGTTCGAAAGCAAGAAATTGCAAGTAGATAAAAAGGGACCACTTCGGTGGGAAGGTAACAGCGTTCCGTGCGCCTCGGTGTTTAGTCATGCCGGCCACATGACCACGGAAGCGTCTTCGGACAGCGCTGGCTCTTCGGCTTTGAAACTGAGATGAGCACCGCAACCCTAGAGTGGGATTCGACTGGCCTTCGAGCAAGGGAACCTTTACCTTTATGTTTTATATGTCTGGCTATACATAGTTTTGAATGTATATTTCTTCTTATAGTAATCCTTTTTAAGGTATTTTATGCCAATAAAGGTCAACTGAACTCTACCTGGAGGAGGACAACCCAACACAGAGGGGTGCCCCCCTTGCAAAGTGGTGGGACCCCAGGACACATGGAAGACTTCCTCCTTGTTGACAGACCTCTTGCCCCGCACACATACCCAGAACTGGCAACCCTACACACAGTTTTTAAATGAGAACCGGAAGTTAAGGGCCGTGTACGGCTTCGTCTCTTTGGGCACTTCAAAAAGCCCGCCCTGTGCCTCGCGACCCGGAAGCTGTTCTTCTAATCCGGAAGGGATTTGTCGCGTCTTCGACAAGCAGCCCTCTCCCCGCACTCACACCTCCCCGCTTACCATCACTCTTTTCCCAGCGACGCGGACTTCGTCTTTCCGGCGGCTCACGGCCCTGCCTAAGAGTCTCCCGAGGGGCTGAATAGGCAACATCCTTCCCGCCCCGCCCCCCCGAGCGGCCTCAGATGTTTTACTTCCGGGCTCTGGCCGCAAACTGAGGCGCCAGCCCGGCTTGTCGTCGGACGTCATCGCTGCCGGTAGCCTATCGCAAAAGTCCTGGCAAAGCCAGGCCTTCCCAGGCAGGTGCTACGGCTGTGACGCCATCTTTGTCGTGGGCGTCAGCCAGCGCGCCTGCCCGTCCCTGCCGGAGGCGGAGCTGCGGCTTTTAACTGTTTCTTGGCCAGCGCAATTCGCAGAAGGGAATGTGTGTGTCAGTAATGCCTCTTATGAGTCCGCCCCACCGCAGATGCGCACACAAGCACGCTCCGGGGTCAGCAGATCGGTTCTCTGGTGTTTAATCACAAGCTGAGAACAAAAGAGCATGAAATATTTCTAGATCTTTCGAAGTCTTCGAAGGAGGCCTGGTTCTCACTGGCCAATGTCAGGGCAGTACCCCTTCAGATTGCAATGGCTGAATGCTCTAGTCTTCGGGATGTAGCTCTACATTTAAAAAAAAATCCCTGCATGCAGAAAACTAGGAAGATCGGAAGGAGGAGGAGTCTAGTCCAGACCAATTTATTTATTCGATTTTTAGCCCGCCCTCCCGCCGAAGCGGCTCAGGGCGGCTTACAACAATAAAAGCAATAAAACAATACCTCTAAAACAATCTATACAGTACATTAAAATAACAATTTACCTGCATTATAACATACACAAGACGGCGACTATCATAATGCTGACATACTCAATCTGGGTTGTTGAATGCTTGGCGGAATAACTCCGTCTTCACCGCTCTCCGGAACTGGCGGAGATCCCGGAGGGCGCGGATCTCCTGGGGGAGCTGATTCCATAATATTGGTGCTGCCAAGGAGAACGCCCTAGTTCTAGTGGATGTTAATTTGGCATCCCTAGGCCCTGATGCTGGGAAAGATTGAAGGTCAAAGAAGACGGGGACGGCAAAGGATGAGATGGTTGGACAGTGTCAGCGACGCAACGAACATGAAACTGAGCAAACTTCAGAGGACAGCGGAAGACAGGAGGGCCTGGCGGGATCTAGTCCATGGGCACGCGAAGAGTCGGACTCGACTGTGCGACTGAACAACAAAAAGGGCCAGGGGGGACTAATCGATCCTGTGACTCAGATCTCAGTGCTCTGGGGGGGAGGGAATACGGGGAAAGGTGCTTAGTTCCCTCTAAGCTGTGGAATCTTGTGAGCAAAAATTCCACATTGTGAGCGACTGACATTAACGTTCTGAGCGAGCACTATGTCTGCCGCATAAATTAGTTTGCTCTGGAGCCCTCCTTCCTGAGCGGAGACAAAAACGTGTGAGCCGGAGGCTAAAAAACTGAGCTAGCTCACACTAACTCAGCTTAGAGGGAACACTGGACTTCTCCCTAAGATTCTAGTTTTCTGTGTGCAGGGGGCTTTTTTAATGCACATTTGTATCCTGCAGACCAGTATTATTTACAATCCCTGGGTGGGAAACAGGAGCAGTGGAGCATTGCATAGAGCTGCCAGCCTCCAGGTGGGGCCCGGCCTCCTCCCAGAATTACAAGCGGTCTCCACACGAGAGAGCAGTTCTCCTGAAGGAAATGGCAGCTTCAGAGGATGGACACGATGGCGTTATACTCCAACTGAGGTCCCTCCCCAGGCTCCACCCCCAAATCTCCAGGAATTTCGCAGCCCAGAGTTGGCAACCCTATAAAAGTGCCCCCCGTCTCCATTCACAGCACTGCGGCTGTTTTTCCAATACTGCCACCGTTTTACGGGCCAGGCTAACTCAGAAGTTGGAGGAGAGCAACACCTTCTTTGCCAACGCTCCGATTGTGGATTCTTTGCATCCCTTCCCTTAACAATCGTCCCAGAAGGAAAGCTGGGTGGGGAAACAGGAGGGTGGTGGCTGAACGGAAGCAACCCGGCGAATTCAGGGCTGGGGGTGAGATTTGAACTGGGGGGCGGGGAGCTGGGGAGCTTCCCAGCTCGCCCCCCTTTTACCCATCAGGCGTGGATAGCAACAACCAATGTTCCCTCTAAGCTGTGGCATCTTGTGAGCAAAAATTCTACTTTGTGAGCTACTGGCATTAAAGTTGTGAGCAAGCAATGTGGCTACTGCAGAAATTAGTTTGCTCTGGAGCCCTCCTTACTGAGCCAAGACAAAAATGTGTGAGCCGGAGGCTAAAAAACTGTGAGCTAGCTCACACTAACTCAGCTTAGAGGGAAAACTGGCAACAACTATCCTGGTTTTGAATGTATATTTCACAGACATCTACGCAGGGGCGGATGAAGGCTCACCGGTGCCAGAAGCACTGACCCGTCTTGGTGCCCCCCCGTCCTTTCCACACTGACCCAGTCCATTTTAGTCCTTGGCCTGTCTGACCAGGTATACAATGCAGGTTGCAGCAATACAAAAATGTATTCATAGGATAACACAATATATTGTACAAAAGGAAGCTTTTCACCCTTTTCCCAACTTTGTGGTGCCCCCTTTGGCCCTGGTGCCGAAAGCACCTGCTTAGTCCTCTAAAGGGTTAATCTGCCCCTGCGTCTAGGGGGAAAACTAAAATACATTTTCCATTCCCCGCTCCCTTTGCAGGCTGACCGGCTTCGGACGGCGTCCAGCCCAGAGAGTTCCGTCGGGCTCCCTTGCGCCCTCCAGCGGCAGGTCCCGGAGCGGCAACGCCTGCGGAGCGGCATCTCCTGGGTTGACTTGGCAACCGGCAGACGCCGCCGCCGCCGCCGCCGCAGGAGACATGGAGGAGGGAGAGGAGGAGGGAGAGGAAGGGAAGAAGAGGAAGGTGAGACAGACACGCCTGGAAAGCCGCAGGAGAGGAGACAATAGGGCCTGGAAAGGGATCTGGGGGCCAACTGAGGCGTGGCAGTCTCCAGGTGGTGCCTGGAGATCTCCCGGAATAACAGCTGCTCTCCAGACAGCAGTTGCTCTAGAGGGAGCGGCTGCTTTGGAGGGTGGGCTCTATGGCATTGAGCCCTGTCACATCCAGATGCACATTCAGTCTTCACACATGTTACCATTCCATGAAAATAAAGGTTTTGTGGAAGCTGTGTCCACATGTGGACCTCCATCGCTGGATCAGGGCAAATATTTTAGTGTGCATGACAACTAAACCTAAACCCTCATGAAACTAGATCTTATGAGTGGCATCCATAAGCACATTCCTGAATAACAGGAGCCAAGCATGTTCCTCTCACGCAAGAGCAAGGGAGTGATTTCATCTGATGGTTGTTAGGACTACCAACCTCTGGGCAGGTCCTGGAATTCTCCTGAGGTTACAATCGACCCTTAAACCACAAAGATCAGTTCCCCTGGAGGAAATGGCAGCTTTGGAGGATGGATTATATGGCGCTGCATCCCAGCTGAGCTCCCTCCTCTCCCCAGACTCCGCCTTTCTCAAGCTCCACACCCAAATATCTAGGAATTTCCCAACCTGGAGTTGGCAACCTTAGGCCCGCTGGCTCAGACCAAGCATCTGTTTGTCCATCAAGGGTGGACTTCTCCCATCCAAACCTACCCCCGCATCTTAAGAGGCCTCGCTTTGGTGCCCTTGCCTTCTGAGCCTAGACGGGTGAGAGAACCCACCAAAGGGCGCCTCAGTTGTGGGGACAAACCTTGGGATCTCCCTCCTCCCAGGGAGGTTCCTCTGCCTCCCTCTCTTGTTGTCTTCCACCAGTGTTTGAAGACTTTTAGCTTTGATTGGCAAATAATAATTAATCATTATCGTACGGCAGCGTGTGTAGTATAGCCAGGAGATCCTAAGATTGTCTGGCAGCCAGACGTTCGGCTGGGAGGGCGGGGTATAAATCTGATAGATAAATAAATAATAAGTAAATAAAATTCTAGCTCTTTTAGTGCTGTGCAGCGCTAGGTGGTGAGCTAGACTTGTTCTTCAGGCAAGAGATATTTCGGGGTGGTTTGCCATCGCCTGCCTCTGCTGAAGCTCAAATACTTTGGCCACCCAATGAGAAGGGAGCCCTCACTGGAGATGACCCTGATGCTGGGAAAGGCTGAAGGTCAAAGAAGACGGGGACGGCAAAGGATGAGATGGTTAGGCAGTGTCATCGAGGCAACGAACATGAAATTGAGCCTACTCCGGAGGACGGCGGAAGACAGGAGGGCCTGGCATGATGTGGTCCAGGGGGTCGTGAAGAGTCGGACTCGACTGTGTGACTGAACAACAACAACCAGCCTCTGCGTCATGCCCTGGTATTCCTTGGAGGTCGCCCATCCAAATACTAGCCAGAGCCAACCCTGCTTAGCTTCTGAGATCTGATGGGATCCAGGCAGGGTGTTTGCCTGGTGTACCCCCAGTAACTCACACTGGCCTTCCTCCCTGGTTGTGTGCCTAGGTGTTTATATGTTTTATTTAATTGTTCTAAATAGTTGTTATATATTTGTATTCTAAATGCTTTTAAATGTTTGGAAAGTTCACTGCTTTGGAGATCCTGGAGTTGGATGGAAAGGCAGCGTAGAAATGGTTTTAATAAATAACACCTTCTCACTAGGGAGGCCAGCCTCCAGGTGGGACCTGGGGGAACCCCCAGAATTACAGCTCATCCCCAGACTACAGAGATCAGGTCCCCTGAAGAAAATGGCTGTTTTGAAGGGTGGATTCTATGGCATTGTCCCCCACGGAGGTCCCTGTCCTCCCCAGGCTCCACCCCCAAATTTCCAGGAGTTTCTCCCCCACCCCCACCACTGGCGAGCAGGAACCCGGCAACCTGTGTTCCCTCTAAGCTGAGTTTGTGTGAGCCAGCTCACCGTTTTTTAGCCTCCGGCTCACACTTTTTTGTCTCAGCTCAGGAAGGATGGCTCCAGAGCAAACTAATGTATGCAGCAGCCCAATCGCTCGCTCACAACTTTAATGCCAGGAGCTCACGAAGTAGAATTTTTGCTCACAAGACTCCACAGCTTAGAAGGAGCATTGCCGGCAACCCTGCCTCTTACCAGCAATGGAAAGCCCAGAAAGCCCACAAGGGCAACTGGCATTCCCTGTTGTTTCCTGGGTAAATGGCATTCGGCGGTAGACTGCCCCTGAGCATGGAGGTTCCTTTTCGCTATCACGGGCTTAGAGCTGCTGCTAGATCTCTCCTCCATGGGAATTTGACCAATCCGCTTTTCAAGCCGTCGCCCCGTCCATAGAATGAGATTGCCTCGGTAAAACCACAGCAAGCCAAATGCAGCTTCCTGAGAATCTCAACTTTCGTTAAGAAGAAATCCCTTTCTGAAGCCCTGATGAAAGTGAAAAGATGCTTGGGGAAGTGGGCGGACACTGCAGTGCCTAAGGAAGCTTGCAGAAGCCATGGGGGGGGGGGGTTAAGATCCCCTCCAGTAGTTTTGTGGGGGATGAGTCTTTGGTGATCTGTCCAGCGCCCTGCCCAGGTACCTCTTAGCACAACTAATGAAAAAAGTCTGTTTAATTTTTTTTAAAAATTATTTACTTCCAATTTATACCCCTCCTTGCTGGTACAAACTGGATCAAGGCAGCTTACAGATGTCACAATACAATAAGATCAATAAATACTATAAAATCCATAATAAAACAATTACATAATGTGCTAGTACAAACAGTGCAAACAGATGGCGGCGGTTTCCTGTACATGATCCAGTTAGAAAAGACGTCTTTTGGGCCGGGGAGAGTCAGGCGATTTTGCGTCCCTGACCTCAGTGCTCTCTGGGGCACCTATTCAGGTAGGCAGGCTCCATATGATTCTTCCAGTTCCCCGAGATCCTCCTTGGGTGCCCTTCTGTCCCGGTTATCAGTGAGCTGAGGCAGGCGACGGGGCCATGGCTCAGTAGCAGAGCATCTGCTTGGCATACAGAAGGTTGCCAGTTCAATCCGCGGCATCTCTAGTTAAATGGGTCCAGCAGCAGGTGATGGGAAAGACCTCTGCTTGAGACCCTGGACAGCCGTTGCCAGCCTGAGTTTCCTTCTCTTTCTTTCTCTCTTTCCTTCCTTTCTGCACAGATCTGTGCATTCCCTCCCCCCAGCTAGCAATCCAAAACAGTCCAGTGGCACCTTTAAGGCCAAGTTTTATTCAGGTACAAGCTCTCCCTCCTCTGTGAGGGCAGCTCTGCACATTCCCCCCCCCAATAGCTAGCAATCCAAAACAGTCCAGTGGGTGTTGCCTTCTGACACACTTCCGGTGATGTCAGGGGGTGTGACATATGCAAATAAGTTATGCTAATGAGTTATGCTAATGAGCTCCTTCTCCTCTTTTTCTACGAAATGACCCCTGGCAGCACTGCTCCTTGAAACAGGCCCTGGTAGTTGGTAAAGAGGCCAACCCAGTCCCGATCCTTTGGTCAGCCCCAAAGCTAAACCACACAAGGCGACAATTACTGGGTGGAAAACGGTGTGATGAAAGCGCCACCTACCTTGTTCAGAGTCAGACCGGTGATCTGCATGTGACCTCCTCTGGCTAGCAGCAACTCTCCAGGGTTTCAGACAGAAAGGTCTTTCCCAACATCTGCTTTGAGATCCTTCACTTAGAAGAAGAAGAAAAGAGATTGGATTTCCAAGTCTGCTGGGTGACCTTGGGCCGCTCACTCTCTCAAGCCTGACCTATCTCACAAGGTTGTTGTGAGAGTAAGTCTTATTCCCTGCCGTGTGTCAGGGACCATTGTGTCTTTAAATGCTACCATTCATTCGTAAAAGGATCTGCCATCTATTATACTATCAGAATAACAAGGGATACTATTACTTTGACAAGCCTTTATTGGCATATGTATACGCATACAAACAAGGGATACTATTAACTATACAATTTATACTAATCTCAAAGAAGCAGGCAACAACAGTGGTTTTAATTCCAGGTGTCGGGGCCCTCAGAGGGCTCACAGAGCAGTGACTACCTGCTGGGTCTTGAGTCCCTGCAGAGCTGCCATCAGTTTTGCTGCTTTTTGTTATGTCCCAGTGCTAGTGCGTATGCATAGAACGCAAGGGTCAACTCACCTCTGACCATGAAGCTGAGTAGAGTAGTGGAATGACAAGATGAAGTCACTGGGTGGTGTGGTGTATAGGTTGAGAATGATCATCGGACTCTAAACTGGAGAACCAGTTTTGATTCCCTGCTCCTCCTCCACGTGAAGCCTGCTGAGTGACCTTAGGCCAGGCCCGTAGCTACAGTGGGGGGCATCTCGGGGCCCAGCCCCTCGCTTTACTTCCAATGCCTCCCCATTCCCATCCAGCCCCCAGGCCCCCCAACATCCATTTTTTAATTTTATTTGTGGTGCTCCCTTGGGGGGTGTCTGTCTGGGGTGCCCCCTAACTTATTTAAAAGCCCCCTGAATTTAAAAGTCCTGGCTACGGGCCTGCCTTAGGCCAGTCATAGTTCTCTCAGAACTCTCTCAGCTCCACCTCCCTCACAAGGTGCCTGTTGTGGGGAGAGGAAGGGAGGGCGATTGTAAGCCACTTTGAGACTCCTTAAGGTAGAGAAAAGCAGGGTATAAAAACTAACTCTTCTTCTCTGGTGGCAAATGAGGGATGGCAATATGAGGTCCACTGGTGGATGCGATTCCTCCATAACCTCACTACCTGTCCTCACTACCATATACAGATGAGGTGGTAAAGAGAGCCAGTTTGGTGGAGTGTTTAAGAGCATGGAGTCTAACCTGGGAGAACTGGGGTTTGATTCCCCACTCCTCCACATAGAGCTGCTGGTGTGACCGTGGGTCAGTCACAAGATATAGAGGGAACACCATGTCTGGGGCAGTGAGGCCCTGTATTCTTATTATTGGGGGACAATCATTGGTGCTTGGGGGACAACAGTGGGAGGGGCTTTTGGAGTTCTGGCCCACAGATGGACCTCCTGATGACACCTGGGTTTTGGCCATTGTGTGACACAGAGGGTGCGTTCAGATGGGGCATTTGCAACGGAATAGGTGCCGGTTGGAATCGGTGTACTTACCGGCGTTCACACGGCGAACATCTGCCTTCCGTCCCTAACTGTTGCAAAGAGCTTTACACCATTGTATTCTGCCACTAGGTCCGCAAGTGGTGGTATCCTGAGTGCAACAGTTGTAATCGCTTTACCCCCGTCTGATCGCTCTCCACCGTGGTACAGTTTATGCCGGCTGAAACGCCCCGTCTGAACGCACCCAGAGTGTTGGACTAGATGGGCCACTGGCCTGATCCAACATGGCTTCTCTTATGTTCTTATGTTCTACCAAGTCCAGGACAAATATAAAGTGTAAAGAAAAACAAACCCTTGTCTAGGGCTGCATCCTCATGTTCAATATGATGGTAATGTTGGGCTACAGCAATCATTCACAACTGGATTTTCCAGTACGGTTGAGATGATCCAGCTGTGAATTACCACTATAGCATCCATTTTCCAGGGAACTGATCTCTGTAGTCGGGAGATGAGCTATAATCCCAGAGGATCCCCAAGTCCCACCTGTAGGCTGACATCCTGACATTGTACGGCGACGCCCGCTGCATGTGAACGGGCATACAGCGATGGGCTCCGCAGACAGGAGGTAAGTGCGATCGCGTTTCAGCCAGCATAAACTGCACCGGTTCCAACTGGTACAGTTTATGCCGGCTGAAACGCCCCGTCTGAACGCACCCAGAGACAGGCAACGGCCAACCATCTTTGAACGTCTCTTACCTTGAAAACCCCACCTGGGGGGTGCCATAAATCAGATGTGTCTTGACGGCAAAAAATAATAAAACAGTAGAATTGTGGCTTCCTTGAAACAAGATTTAGGCCCTGGCCTCATGTGCCGGAAAACGTGGTGGGGTGTGTGTGGCTATTTGCGCCGTTGCATTCTGATCCGCCATTATGCAATCAGACGCGACGGCGGCACACCGGGGTTTTGTCCTTTGGCACGTGTTGCAAAGAGGACGGCCAGAGGGAATAAGCGCGCACCGGCGCAATCACACTGAACGAGTCTGTCTGCAGCCCATGGCAAACCATTTGCTAGTAGATCTTTGCAGGTACTTTTTAACTGCGCATCTTCGGCGGTACGCCATGGGTTGGCCATGGGTGCGCTACACTTGCCAGATGTTGCGGTGTGATCGCGCCCCGAAAATCCTCCCAGCATTTGTGCCTTTTGCGCAGCAAATTCTCTGTGTGATCGGGGCCTTAGAAGTTTTAAATTTGCCGCTCTGCCTACAGCCACCAAACCCCCAACAAGCCTTGTCTTGAAGCTGTTCTCCCCAGCCTAGAAATTGCTTCATCCCTGATGTGTTGGGGATGGTTGTGGTCGTTCTCAGTAACTGAAGGGAAGCGCTTGGCATTTTCATTACTGTTACTTTATCCACTGAGATTGGAACTCAGTCTGGGGCAAGGGATGCTTTGTGTTCTTGGTGCTTGGGGGGGGGCAACAGTGGGAGGGCTCCTAGAGTCCTGGCCCCGCTGCTGGACCTCCTGATATCACCTGGTATTTTTGTAATATCAAGTTGATTGGCACAGTTGTGTTGTAATAGTGCACATGTGTATTGTAATAGTGTTTGTTGCATTTTATAGAAAATCAACACTGATACCTATGAATTTTTGATACGTCACCAGAGGAAATGAATTGTTGAGAGACAGTATATGTAAGGTCTTATACTAATTTTATTAACATTTGTATTAGAATTATCCATATAAGAGTCATAAGTTTTACAAAATCCATGTTGTTATGTTTGATAAGGTCACACATCTTTGTTCGGAAGAAGATCAACCATCGAAACGGCAAGGCATTCCGGAGACCACCGACACATTTTCTATTAATCTGTATATTTTCTATTATATTGTTCACTTTTTGTATAATTTTGACTCTTAAAGAAATTTATTAGCGTCACAGTTCTTTTTGGTTTTCGATTACCCGGTATTTTTGGCCACTGTGTGTCACAGAGTGTGGGACTGGATGGGCCACTGGCCTGATCCAACATGGGCTTCTCTTTATGTTCTTATGTTCATGGCGGGGGTGGGGGCTGAGTCCTGAAGAGGCATCCGTCCAGGCTTACGGCAAGTTTTTCCTCACAGGAGGTCAAAATGGCCACCATTCGCCTGGAATTCTTTCCCACGGCAGTCACTGAAGAGAAGCTTCAGGAAGCCCGGGAGAAATCTCTGCGTCGCATTTTCGGGACCACCCAGACCTTACGATGTATAAAGAGTCCCCGCAAATGGGGGACCTTACAAAACATTCTGCAGGAGCGGGTGGCAGAGCAGTGAGTATCTCCCCCCAACAGTTCCTTGGTGTTCGGATATTTTTCCATCGATCACTCAGTCCTTCTCTGTAAGCAGAATTGAAGGTGGGGTTCCACGTGGCACTCATCACAGTGAAATGTCCCTTAGAAAAATCCTACCATGGCCATCCTCACTGGCAGAGTTATAGAAACAACCAGGGAAACGTTTTGTATATAATGCAATAGATACTATATTGAAATTGTATACAAAGTGTAAATTAATTTTTAAAGTGCTTAATTCATAAATTTATAAAATACCACCTAGGCATTCCAGCATTTCATAGCGTGCAGCAGATTGGACTGGAGCCTGGTATGAAGGTTGTCATTTCCTGTTTGGAAGATAAGCTTTGATAAGCAGAGAGAGAAAAACCTTGGAAAATAAAAGAGACGGCACTCACTAAATGCAAAATGTTGAATAAGAGAATTTACTTCTGAGGAAGTCATAAGAGAATTTACTTCTGAGGAAGTTTAGGAGCGAAACGAAGACTCAAGCCGGAAGCTTCGTTAATATATTGATGTATTGTGATTCTCTAAATGTATTGTGATCTGTTTATAATATTGAGATTCTTATGTATGAATTAATAGGTGGTATTTTATAAATTTATGAATTAAGCACTTTAAAAATTAATTTACACTTTGTATCAAATTTCAATATAGTATCTACTGCATTATATACAAAACGTTTCCCTGGTTTTTTCTATAACTCTGATCTTGTATCAACTGGGAGGTCTCTTATATATTACTCATCCTCGCTGGCAGCCACCTAATACAGATCCGCTTGTTCACTAAAGGCTCTGCTTCTCTGTGCAATTTCCCTCCTGTTCTTTTGTTTTACAAGTCTAATTAATTACTTCCTGGTCACTCCCCAACACGGCATCTATGAACTGGTTATCCGTTGTTAATTCAGTTGTCTTAAGAGAAGATCTCAAGTACTACTTTTCTCTTTGGAGGCAGAATGCTCCTATTTAAAAAGCTTATCTTTTTTGCCATAATATTGAGATTAAGAAACTATAATAGTAACAAATAAATAGAATAGAGCCAGTTTGGTGTAGTGGTTAAGTGCGCGGACTCCAATCTGAGAGAGCCGGGTTTGATTCCCCACTCTTCCACTTGCAGCTGCTGGATGACCTTGGGCAAGGCATAGTTCTGGCACAGCTGTTCTTGAAAAAGAGCAGTTTCTGTCAGAGCTCTCTCAGCTCCGCCAACCTCACAGAGCTTTGCCAGTTATATTTAATCAGCAACAGTTCAAAAGAACCAGAAACCTATTTTGTTCTTTATTAAATAAATCATTTTTTTGTTTAAACGTATTCCAGCAATCAGAATCGTCCTTCCTCAGGGCCACATTGTCCTCTGAAGTGCTCAGACCCTAGGTCATTCTACCAAAAGAGAGAGATTTGGAATGTTTAATTCCCGTTGACAGCAGAAATCTACCAAGATTAGGTACACAGAGGGTATTTTAAAAAACTGTCTCCCCAATAAGCGAGGATGCCACAGGCACTTTCGCTGAACTTACAAACAGCCTGTCACGTGGAACAGGGGTGGTGGTGGGGAGCACAGCGCAATAGCACCATAGCACAGGTAAGCCTTCATGTGGCTTCATTTCAATTTTTGAAGATGTCTTTGTTTTGAAGGAGAAACATGGACTGTCGCAGTCAGCCATTCCCTCTTTCTTTGCTTCCGCAGCTGTCAAGAAGGCCACAAGTTTTTCTCCCAGGGAGAGTGGGAAAAAGCAATCACCTGCTATACCAAAGCCTGGAACTTGGATCCTAAGAAGGTGAGGTGGCCACGGTGGGAGTCAGCAAATGTGACAGTCAAGGGAGCGGCCCCCACGTCTGCAGAAATCTCCTCCATGTTCCGAAGGGATGTGACTGAGCGCCTAGAGAACAGAGACAATCCTTTGTGTGTTGTCCATTTCCAAAGTAGTCTTGGTGACATCACCATTGTCGCAATGTAGTTGTCGCACCGAGGTTTCTGTCTTTTTCAAGAACAGCTCTGACAGAGCTATGGCTTGCCCAAGGTCATCCAGCCAGGTGCAAGTGGAGGAGTGGGGAATCAAACCCGGTTCTCCCAGATTAGAGTCCGCGCACTTAACCACGACACCAGACTGGAGAGACTGCTGGGCTCCACAGCTGCTGCGGCTGGGCTTGGAGAGGCTCCTGGGCTCCCCCACCTCCACAGCTGGGCCCGGAGCGGCCCCTGGGCTCCACCACGGCCAAGCCTCCTAGCAGCTCCCGGTCTCCACCACCTCCACGGCCAGGCCCAGAGCGGCTCCCAGGCTCTGCCACTGCTGCTGGGCTCGGAGCGGCTCCCAGGCTCCACTGCGGCCACGGCCAGGCCTCCTGGCAGCTTCCAGGTTCTGTCGCCACTGCATCAGCAAGCGCCAGGCCCTTCTGAGGCAGGAAAATGGTAACTGCCTTGTCTGTGCACACACAGACAACACTTTATTTAATGTAGGGGGATTTAAACCCCCTAATGATTTTTTTTTTAACTTTTCAGGTTTTCCTGCAAACTTAGGGGGTCCCCCAAGCGTGCAGAAAAACCAGTCTGAGGGAAGTGTGCCCCCAATCCGTGCGTTTAGCTACCCACAGATGGGGGCCACATCTGAAATATACAGAATTACAGATATTAAGTGCTCTGTGGAACCCATTATAATTTCACTTGCAGATGAATGTGGGAAAAGGGATCCTTAAGCAGTGCAAAAAGAAAGTCATGATACGGAACATTCTAGGCCAGGGATCCCCAACATGGTGCCCATGGCACTATGGCGCACACCAAGACCTTTCCGGGCACCCAGCAAGCGTTTTTAGAAAGCGGGAAGTGCCAGGCAGAACTTTTGCCCAGCAAGGCTTCTCATTGGCCATTGGCCATCTGGCTGGGCAGATTTTTAGAACATTGGTTCAGCAACCCACTGCTTCGGCAGAAGCTGTCACCACAGCACAAGGAGCTTCACTGTGTGACTGTAGGTAAGCTGTGGAAGCCATTTTGTGGCTGGCTCCACCTCTTGCGGCAGCCATTTTGTGGCTGGCTGTGCCTCTTGCGGCAGCCATTTTGTGGCTGCGCCCGCCGTGCCATATCAGAAAACAGGCTCAACAAGGTTGGGGACCCCTCCTAGGCTGCGCTGATGTCCTCCATCGGAGAAGGAAGAGATTTTACTTCATCGGCTATCCTAAGAGCTGCCTGCATTATCCCCTGTGCAGGTGGAGCTGTATGAGCAGAAGGCGGAAGCTTTTCTTCAGCTCTGTGACTTCCAGTCTGCCTCCCTGCACCTCAGGAAGGCCTATTGCATGACGCCAGCGAAGGACGAATGCCTGGCCCGCCTCGCCTTCATTCTATATCTGCAGGTAAAGAGAATGGTACACCCAAGCCCCTTTTTTAAAGGCACAACCCCACAAGAATTTCTTCTGCAAATGCTTTTTTTCTGTCCTTTTAAAACATTTTTTAAAAGATGTGTGCTCCTTTAAGCAGAGTAGAGTGCTGTAATTGACCCATTCCCGCACTGAGCAAGGGGGTTGGAGTCGGTGACCTCTAGGATCCCTTCTAACTCTGTGTCAAGAAGCTGGTCTCCTTTAAGAGAGTTTTTCTGCCTGAGTGTTAGCTTTCTTGACTACAGAAGTCACCACCCCCACCTGCCGGCTTGTTATCAGAATTGTTGCTTAGGCTGGCAGAAGTGATTAACTTGCAGCAGCTGAGAACTGCCATCTAAAGTGGCTGATAGCTTGCAGTTTAGAGATCTCTCCTGGTCACAGCTTGTTTTGGCTAAATGGTTAATACAGGGGTGTCAAACATGCGGCCCAGGGGCCGGATTAGGCCCCCGGAGGGCTTCCCTCAGGCCCGCAGTGGAACTGGCCATCTCCTGCTTCCTGCTTCCAGTTCTTCTGCTGCTGCTGCTGAATCATAGCTTGCTTCGCCAGACTCTCTTAATCACTCAGCCATTTCCTGTTTTAACCTGGGTCCTAGACTCAGAACTCTGAGCATGAGATTTCTGTGGTGAATGTCAATACATCAAAAGTCGGTTTGCAGCTTACAGAGCTAATGTTTTACGCATGTTTTTATTTTGAGTAAAAAACCCAACCCTCTTTGTGTTTGTGTCCTTTATAAAATTTATATCTCCGCTACCTGGCATTACCTCTTATGACACACACGGCCCGGCCCAACAAGGTCTCATTTATGTCAGATCCGGCCCTCATAACAAATGAGTTTGACACCCCTGAGTTAATAGGCTACGGGTGATTGCTAGCATAAGAACATCTATGTAGGACAGACAGCTTGAGAGTAGGCTTGCCAAGTCCCCCTGGGGGGTGGGAAAACCCCGCCCCAGACGCCCGTTCCCCGCTGCCGCCAGATCGGGCCCCGGGGGGAACTTTGCTAGGGCTGCCAAATGCCCCCGGGGGGCGGAATTCCCCCCGCTTTCGAGCCCCGATTTCCGCTCTTGCGGAATCGGGGCCCGGGGGAAACCCCACCCCCGCGTGCGCATCACCTGGAAGTGACGTCGCACGCTGGGGGCGGGACCACACCATTTGAGGGGAAAACTCTTTGTTTTCCCCTCAAATGGCGTGGCCCCGCCCCCAGCATGCGA